TCTCTTAAAATCTTCACTATAGCCTTATAGTAAAGTTGAGGTCTAGGACATAGAGTTCGTTATAACAAGAGTTGACTATAATACTAATTTATAATTAAGGTAATATAAAATATTTATAAGTAAACTATATAAAATTTTTTATAAAGAATATATTTATAGAAAGTATATATTGTTAACAGAGCAATTGACCAATTATAATAAAGTCATGTGGATAACACAGTATAACGATCTCCTAATTCAGAATTCTAAAAATACTAAGAATTCTATGAATTCTGAAAATACAGAGGATTTATATAATTCTATAGATCTTCCAAATACTGAAGATAATTTTAATTTTATGAATTAAATGAAGTCTAGAAATATTTAATGTTATACTTATTTGTAATTTTCTAATTTTTATTATTATTTTTATTATTTTACGTATTTTTATTTTACTTATATTTTATCTACCAAATTAGTTAATTTATAGCATAGTAAATAGTTAGCTATGACAAAAAAAATTTTGTATAAATAAATAGACTTTTTACTTATGTTGTAAATTAACTCTTTTGCAAGTCAAAGTAACTCTTTTGTAATACGAGTTTCAGTATTAATAAAGGAATTATTTAAAATTTATATCTTTCTACCTCTTTATATCTTCATATAGTCTGACGTGATTCTTACACATTATTTGTAATTAAATTTGTCATCTGAATTTTTTAATTAAATTATTTATAATCTCATCTCTCAAGTCTTCATACTTAATAGATTTATTTAAGTTTAATACGTAAATTTGATAAAGTTAAGAGTTAAACAGATCCTAATATTTTAATTACAGTAAGCTGCAATTAGTAACCTTGAGTAGAGACTTGATAATATAATAAACCTAAATTGAAGAATTCTACAGTAACAATATATAAAAAGACGTGTATTTAGCATTAAAACTCAAGTTGAAATCAAATAAAAAGATGCATATATAAAGGATGTGTATTTATAAAGGATACATTTATAGAGAGTTAACTGTAAACTTAAAATAGAGTATAAAAAGTAATTATAATTTTTATTTAGTATTTTATTTGTATTTTTAAATAATTTACTATTTTAATAAAATAATAAAAATATTACATTGTAAGATATAAAAAAAGTAAAATTATAAAGAAGAATTAATAGGATTCTAAATATCTCTTATTTAACTCACAAATAATACATTTTTTATAATAACTCATTTAATATTAATATTAGAAATATTATTATTATTAGATTTCTTTTATCAAGATGATTTTAATAAATCTAAGATCATTAAAATCCAATTACTAATTAGCTTAAAAATTGAAATGTATTAGATAACAACCTATTATGAATTATATTGTATTAAACTAATTTAGCATTAATCTAATGTAGATTATAATATTAATTTATTATAAGTTTACTAATTTAATTTTAAAATTAGATTTATAAAATGTATGTAAACTATATATGTAAATATATATTTTAATACTAATTAATTTTAATAATATTAAAATTAATTACATCAATTTAATATTTATTATAAATTATTAATAAATATTTATGTCTGTCAAAATATAAATTAATTAGTAATTTATTAATTTACATTGAATTATACGTAAATAGATCACAAACTTGTAAAATATATTAATTTTGATGATATTTACATAATTTATAGTAATTTTTAAATATAAATCTGTAAATTATTTTATTATTAGACTTTCTTGATAATAAATAAAATTATAATAATTTTAACTTATTAAAATCAATTGAATTTAAAATTAAATAGTCAATAAGAACTAACATATAATAGATAAATATTATATTATCTTGAGTAATTAGTCTTCAGATAATATTTAATATTAGATATTGTGAAATAATAACATAAATCATTAAACTTTAATTAGTTAATCTTACAATATTTTTAACTATCATGATATCTAAATCATATACTAAAATTTAAAAGTTGAATATAATTTTCAAGTTATTTAATAGTATAATAAGCTTAATCTATATTTTTGAATTTAAATAAGATTTTACTTAACCTCTATTTAGTAGTATGATTAAATACCTAATAATGACAATTGATAGTTTTTAAATACTTTTAGTTAAAATTTTAATTTAATATGATACCTATTAGACTAATAATTAAATTTATTAAATCAGATTTAAATAGACTTATAGAAGTGATTAGGTAAATAATTTGTCAACTTATTTTAAATTATAAACTTAAGCATTAATAAATAGTAAACTCAGTTTTTATATTAGAATACCAAAAAAAAGTTAAGAATTATATGGTAATAATGATTATAATCAATATAGAAATAATTTATTATTATTTAAATCTATTTCACAAAATCAAATGATTATAAAAAGTATGTTTATATAAGCATAATTATATAAGAATTAATTATATAAGATTTGATTTTACCATTTACTAAAATGAATTTTATCAAATAACTATAATATTACAATTTTTTATATAATTATTTTAAAATTAATATTTTTATTAAAATTTATAATTTAATAATATTTTCAGAATTTATTAAGAATTATAAATTTAAAAATATAGTTATTAAATCATTGCAAAAAATCTTTTTTGTGTGGATCACAGATGCAAGAACACTAGATTAAAACTGCTTACACCAAATAACCTTTGCACTATTCACCACCTTAATTTTTATTAGGATCTGTTACAAAAATCAATTATCAATGCTGCTACTAAAACAATCTCCAACAAATATATTTCACATCATGCTCGAGACCTGTATCTTGTTTGTAAATTTCTAAAATTCTTATAATATTTTTATAATTAAAAAGCAAATTGTATTTAATATTATAAATTTTATTTATTATATTAAAAATATAATTATTATTTAATTAAAATAATAATATTAATTTAAAAAGATTTTTTTTTATTAATCTATTTATATAAGTGAATAATATTAATTTAAAAATTTTTTGATTTTTAATTTTACTAATTTTATAATAATGAATTTCAATTATTATATATAGTATAATAATTTTAGCTAATATTATAAGATTTAATATGTAATTAAGAAATTTTAAATAGCGATAGTAATTAATTCAGAATTACATGAATCATTATAAAAGTATTCTTATCACTTATTTGTAATATTTTTAAAGTCAGTCAAATAATAAGAAGGATAGTTTAAAGTTTTTTTTATATAATTGCTCTTTTTTCTTATCATTTACTCCAGTCCATCAAATATATGAAACATCACACCGGTGACAAAACATCTAACCCTAACCCTAACCCTAACCAACCCTAACCCTTACCAATCTCAAATATACCAGTTCAAAATTTTTAAATAAAATGGACTTAAATTTTAATTTTTTTGCTATGACGACGAAAATTAAATTAATAACATTCGACGCGTTCGGAACCCTATTTCGTCCACGAAATGGAAAAATAGGACATTTATACGTAACAGATCTGCTATCTTTATTTAATTGGTATTCAAAGTTTTTTATTAAATAAAAACTCCAATTAAATTAGGCAAAAGAAGCTGCAAAGTTTGGAATGAAATTAGAAGGATCCTTAATAGATAAAAAATTTAGAGAATCTTTTCGAAATGTTTATAAAATATATCATAATTATGGCTACGATAGTGGATTAAGTTCAAAAGAATGGTGGTCCAAGGTATAGAAAATATAAGTGAATCATATATATATTTTATAATTTAATTTTAGATGAACACTGTAGGTGATTGAAGCAACATTTATCGAAGCTGGAATTGATAAAAGAGGTGATTTATTACTCAAAAAAATAAAGGAATCATTTTTTTAGTCTTCAATTCTTTAATCTTCATTCTCTACAATAAAGATTTATTACCCATCTTACCAATGTTGTCCACAAATATATACAAAAAATTTACAACCTCAGAAGCCTATGAATTATATGATGAAACTGAATATGTGTTAAACGAATTACATAATGTCAGAAAAATTAAATTGGGGGTCATAAGCAATTTAGATGAAAGATTAGGTATGTAAGTACATAACCATTATTTCTTAGTCATAAGATTATACTATATTTACTAATTTAATTTATTTGAAGAGAGAATACTTTCTTCATTACAAATACATCAGTATTTTAATTTCAATTTATTTAGTGGTAAATTTGGTGTTGAAAAACCAGATGTTAAAATATTTAAGAAAGCCTTAGAATTGGGTGGAATTAAAGAAGGGAATGTTAAACAAGTATTACATATTGGTGATGACGAAGTTAGGTCGGTATTTAGTATCCTCATTTAAGGTTTTATATATTTTTCATTAATTTAATTTGTTTTTATAGAGATTATCAAGGAGCAAAGAATATTGGTATAAATGCATTGTTGATAAAAAGAACTGAAGATACAAATTCAAAAGAAATAATTAAAAATACTCAACCAAATCAACAAGAAAAACATCATTATGTTATTCATAATTTAAACGAGTTATTTAATTATTTATAGTATAAAGATACAAATTTATAAATTGTTTATATATACAAAGGCATAATGATTTATTATCTGGAAAATATTTCATAGAATAGCCAAAAGTGTTAATTAAATGACAAATATGCAATCTAATCCTCAAATGAATCGATTTTAATCAAATTTGTTTATCGACATCAGTAAGAGGGACATACTGTAAATAGAATGAAATTTTTAATCGATTAGAAAAAAATTTAAAAATTTTCGTATTTAATATCATCTAACATATTTTGATACGGTACCATGACTCCCATCAATTCTTTCCGTGTTACTTTCCCATTTTCGTCCTTGTCAATCTGATAGATGGACTGAGATTTAACTCCCACAGGAACGAACAACCTACATATAAAAATAATTTGATTTCATATCTCGAGGTATATCTGGATGCCCTAAGTTTAACTTACCGTCCAGGTGCTTTCAATTGATCAATCAATGCATGAGGTTCTTTTTCTGCGGCGGCACCAACATGGCTGTAAAGAGTTCAGTGTTTATGAAAAAAAAAAATTTAAAAAAACAAAAGCAATAAGAATGAAGAAACGTACATGCAGTCATAAGGTGACTCCTCCGGATAACCCTTTCTTCCATCTCCATGAACCAATATGATTCTTTGAGATTCCAAATATCCCGGTCGATCTTTTTGAATATTTCTTCTCGACATGTCAACAAGTTCCTTAATGTGTTCTATGCCAATAACTTTCCCCTCCGGTCCAACCTTTAATATATAAATATATAAAAGTGAATTAAATAAAAACATAAATCATTAAAAACCAACTTTTAATTTACCATTTCTGAGAAACAAGCTGTTAAATATCCGGAGCCACATCCGACGTCCAAAACTACAATATGTAAAATGACGCGTGTTTTGATTGTTTCTGCAACAAAATACACGTAAATAACGCTCACTTACCTTTCATACCGGGCTTTAAGAAAGGTTCCAAATATTGAAGAGCGTAAGCGTGCATATGACTTTATGTAAAATGAATTTACGAAATAATTAGCTCAAAATCTTCATAACCTTAAAGCTAAATCATCAAGGGACGTCGACATTATGCTTACGGTGCGGAAATAGTGGCACCGAAACCCAATGGCTGAGGAGTGTCATTATATGGACCCTGTGATACATAATTTTTTCTATCAACAGCTTTCATGGCTTTCTCAACCCCTTCTGATTTAAAAATCTTGGCCGTTTTCAAGTTATTCACAAGTCCCTCATTGCTATTAGCAGAACAATACCAAGCCATCTTTGAGGAAAATGTGTTTTCTAAAGAAAAGTTTACTTTATTATATGGAAATAAAGTTCTTGATCCGCTTAAAATAGAAGAATTTGAAGTGTTGTATCCAGAAGTTAACGAGCTATTAACTGAAGATATAAAAGAATATAAAAAAGAGCAAGACAAAAGGGTTGCGGGAATAGAAAGCTTTTTAAATAACAGTCTATTTCCTATATTTTGGAGAAATGGCATGAGAAAAAGATCAAAAAAATATTTTGGAGAATGATCGACGTTTATGACATTCATTTAACATCTTTCTGATGTCATTACTGATTTTAGTGCCGCAGTAAGTGTTTATAATCTTTGGGTGATTAGACTTTTATGGTCTTTTCTTTTTCCAAGAGTAAGATAAGGCAAAAAGTCAAATTATTACACATTAATTAAAACGCAAACTGCAATGATTTCCGAAATCAATTTTAGTATTTAGAAAACATTTTAAGCTTAATTCTTTAAATCGTTCGTAGAAATGAGTCAAAAAAGTTATAAAAATAAAACTTTGCGGGGTAAGGTAGTTAGCAATAGTGAAGAAGAGGAAAAGACACAGTCTCAAAAAAGTAAGGAAAACTCAAAACAATCTTTAGCTTTGTGCGCTGCACCACCTAAACTGAGTTTTTTTGACGAGATAGAAGAAGTGTGTACTTTTTAGAACAAATTATTTTCAGTTCTAGACTTTAAACTGGATGTAATAATTTTCATTTATTATAGTCTGATATAACAGAATATAGACCTTTAAAACGTATTTCGAAAGATATTCCAGTCAATCAAAGAAACAAAACTCAAGGAACAAAGACAGGAACCAGCATAGAATTAAAGTCGTCTTCTAATGATCAAACTTTAGAAAATCTAGTTATTAAAAGTGCAAATAAAAGGCTTGAGATTAGAATGAGTGATCAATCTGGAAGAGGGTTATTTGCTTTGCAAAATATTTCTCCTGGTACTTTAATTTTAAATTACACGTACAGCGTTTGTTTCCAATCTATAATTATTCAACTTTGAAAATGATTAAACAGGGGCTCTTGTTATGGAAGATATACCCTACTCCGCCGTTGTAGATGATGCAAACTTTTTTACAACCTGTAGTCATTGTTTTATGAAAGGCGGAAAATTGTCATGTTGTTCGGCTTGTAAATTAATTCATTATTGTTCTAAGGTTGGAAATAAGCTACAATAATCTTTTCGTGATTTAATTATTTTGGCGCTGAGTTTCGTGTCTTGTTAATTGTACAGGAATGCCAAAGTAATGATTGGTCAAATCATCAGCACGAGTGCAAAGTTTTTGTTAAAGTGCAAAGAAAACCACCTACTTCAATTCGTTTACTATGCCGGATCTTGATGCGCCGCATGAGTGATCCGGCATCAGTATGTATTGGAATTTCTTTTTAATTATGGCTAGGCAAAGTTTATGGTGTATAAATTTTTCTATAAAGATATTGTTATGAATTTCTATTTTACTTATTATTCAATATTTAATATTTTAGTTCAAAGAGATCGAAAATTTACAAAGCAGTATCCAAGATTATTATGGCTGTTGGGGAATAGTCAATTTGTTTTATTTATTGATAATTATATTTTCCTTGATAAACTTTATCTAATGTAGATAGACATTTATTCAAGCAAGAACAAATAGAGACATTTGCTCAAATTTCCATGGTGATCCGTGATTGCGTACCTAAAGATGCCTTATTATCTGCATCGGAGTTGATTGAATTATTTTGTCGTGTATTTATCATTCTATTTTTAGTCTCATGTCTTTTTTCTTTATTTTACATCTGGTTATATGGATTTTATTGTTAAGTTTACAGAAAATAGTTTCTCAATTTTGGATGGAGAAATGATACCCAATGGTGTAGCAGTTTATCCTAATGCTTCTTTAATAAATCATTCGTGTCGTCCTAATTGTATTATCGTCTTTGAAAAATCAAAAATGATGGTTCGGTGTATTGAACCTATTGTGATAGGTCAAGAGGTACTATTATAGAAAAATTAAGTAATAATCATTTATAAGAATAGTTTTATGAATAATTATGTTTTATAGATTACAATTAATTATACTGATTTGAGTCAATCAGGAGAAGAGCGACGAAAAGAATTGCAAGATCGTTACTTTTTTTTATGTCGATGTGAATTATGTGAATATTATAAGGTAAATAATATTTTTATAATTATATAATATATATAGATTGATTTAATTTTTTATTTAATATGTTTAGTTAAAATCTCACGTAGATCCAAGAAGCGCGTTAAGGTGTCAAAATCCAAACTGTTTGAATGCAATTGAACCCCCGGGTAATTTATTATATCATATATTATTATGGCTTTTAATCTATTTTATTAAATTTGCTATGTTATGCTATTTTAGAATTATTGGAATTGGAAGTTGAAGAATATTCATCAACGTGTTCAGTTTGTTCAAAGAAATTACATTATGACGTAGCAGATGTAGAAAAAAAATTATCAATAGCTATAGAATTGTATGACAAGGGATCAAATTTACGCGACAGAGGTAAAAAAAACTTCTCCCATTTGCTAAAATGACCATTTTTAGTTATATCATTTTAAAAAAGTTTTTTTTAGATGATCGTCAAGCAATAACCTTTTTCGAACAATCGTTCAACATTCAAAATGAGCTTTTACATAAAGCAAATTATTATTTAATGAGAACGTGTAAATCAATGGTTGAAATCTATTGTAATTTAAGAGATTGGAAGCATGCGTTAATTCATTCATTTGAATTAATCGAATCTTATAGAATTCTGTATAGTAAATTACATCCATTGTTAGGTATCCAACTCTATTCCACTGCAAGAATTTATTTATCATTTAATGATAATGAAATTGATATTAAATATCTTGAAAAAATTGAAGAATCATTAAGAGAAGCATTAAAAATTTTAGAAATTACTCATGGATTTAAACATCCTCTTACTAAAATGGTTGAAATGAATTTATGGGATGTTGAAGGGGAAATCAAAACTAAAAAAAAAAAAGCAATAAATCAATAAAATTTATCAGTTTATTATAATAAAACTTTAAAATTAATAATTATAAAACAAAAATTATATAATGATTTTTATTATATAATATTTGATTTTATTACATAATAATGAAAATTTGAAGAAAGTTGATTAATGAAAATATAGAAGATAATTTTACATTTTTAAAAGAATTATTTAATATTAAATGAAATAATTAGTGATATTTTGAATTTTTTTTGAAGATAATGATATTATTTAAAATAATAGTAGTATTGTAGAAATTAAGCTTCTGAAAAAAAAGCAAATGTTATTTTAGATAATGAGTGATTTTAAAATTAATAAATTTATTTATCATTTTTTAATTTTTATCAAAATTATCTTTTACATTAATAATTATTATATTATTATTAATAATGAAATTATGATTCATCTTGTGATATTATATCATATGATTTTAATATTGCAACTGAAATCATTGCTATCATTTTCTCTATTATTATTATTATATATATTATTATTATTAATTACTATCATCTTTATCAGTAATTTTTAAATCAGAATTTAAATTGATTAAAATTTCACATATCTTATAGTATGAAAATCTCAAATTTGTTTAATCATAATATTGGCGTTTCAAATAGCATAAAGTTGTAATACAGCATCTCTAAAAGTACTTTAAATCATATAAAATAATTTTCAACTGAATTATGTAACATTCAACTAAAAATAGGTACAGTTCCACCTGTACCATATGCTAGACTAATAAAGAATCCACGAGATAACAATAACACGTGTTCAACATAGTTAAACTAAAACTTACCAAATAAAATTTCCTTCAACAGTAACAACCATCATGAAAATTCTTTCTCTTACTCAATAGCTACAACCAAAAACTTCTACCCATTCTTAAACAACAGGAGCTTTCTCAACAACTCAACAATAACAATAACTATTTTGCCAGTATGTGCCGTTATTAACAAAGTTCGAATAATTTTTACAGTTAGTAGCAATTAGTTAACAACCATTTATGGTAACATATATATATAGCACATAATCATGTCAAACTATCCTTTACTATTTTAAGTACATTTATTATCTGGATATAACCTAAAAATGAGGAATTTTCGCTATCTGTTAGGTTTTAACGTTTCTATAAGGTCTTTTTACTGAAAATTACTTTTTTAACTTTTAATTTCAGATATACCATGACATATTATCTCGTACTAGGTGAAATTCCTACTAAAAGAAAACTTGATTTCATTAAGTTTGATTTCTCAGAACACGTTATGATATTTAGAAATGCTATCTATAATAAGAAGAAGAATGCCTTTTTTTAATAAAAGTATTGACAAAAACGATCTCATATTATAGAAAGTTGATATTCCTTTTGACAGTAAAGATGATAAGCTAAAGATACTTAATGATACGTTTGATACAATTAAAATTGAACAAGATCTTAAGGAAAAGGAAATGTTACCAGTAGACGAAATTTCAAAATATTTAAAAAACTTTGATAAATCATCATCCTTAATCTACATTCTCATGCAAATGCCTTCACCTGCCACCTCTAGTAAGTGTCTTCCAATGGTTTACCTTTTAAACAAGTCACAGATCTTTATTAATCAGCTTTTTTCTCTGTTTCCATTTTTTTCCATTCTTTCATAAAGAACCACCAATGAAAAAAAGGCATCTTAGGAAAATAGATCCTAAAGGAATATCTGTTATTCAAAATAATAATGAAGTTCAACAGGTCTCTGTGTCAGAATCAGAGTTCCAAAGGATGCGCATGTTTCATCAAATATATGTAAACAAAACGTGTTGGTTAACTCAACTTCGGTTAAATAATAGCCAATATTTCATATCATGACCTCGAAAATTTGACAAATCAATATTTCTCTTAATAGTTGAATCTTTCTACTTAGTTCAATATAATCTCTTTAAGAATCTATACATACAAGATCATCTACCAAACATTTCTGTCAATAATAAAACAAAAAGATGGAATGAGAACTTGCCTCTGATTCCAGTCATCAGGCTTGACTTTTCTTTATTAACATCGGATAAAAGATCAGAGATGTTAGAAAAGAACTTGATTCAAGTATTACAATCAATTGAAAAGCAATATGGCATTGACATAGTAAATGATAATGTTAAGAGTGTCACTTTTAAATTAATTAAGTTACTAGCTGACGATAATGAAAATAAGTATAGACAAGTGGTAATTCTCATAGACAAATATGATTCACTATTATTAAATGTCATTGGTATTATGAAAAAAAGCACAAAATTGCAAATAACAACACAGCGTACTAAAGATTTTTTTGAAGTAATTAAGGCACTGCAAAGTAAAGTTAAATTTCTTTTCATTACGGGTATAATAATGTTTATACATTTAGATTTATTTTCAGGATTAAATAATCTTAAGGATGTAACGTTAAGTAATAAATTATCTAGAGTATATAGTTTCACAAGTGATGAGATAACAAAAGTGTTTGAAGATAAATTATTAAATCTCTGCAAATCAAATCACTATAATAATATACAAGATGTTATGAATAAATTTCAGAAAAAATACAATGGTTATTTTTGAGATGGTAACATTAAAGTGTATAATCCATATAGCATTTACAGTTATTTTGATAATTTTGAATATGAAAACTTTTGGATTTAAAAAGGGAAAACCAAATTTTTTGCTAGATTAATTGGTATAGAACATATCAAGAATATAATAGATCAAATCACAATAAAGAAGAAATTAATTATACCTATTAATGTTATTGATATATAAATATCATCTGACTTTTCTACTATTTAACTATTAAATAACAGAAAATAGATAATAATGAAAACAGTATTTAGTTCTCAAAATTTCAAATGCTGAAGTAAGAGAGTTTCTGATGAGCGAACTATAGACTTATTTATATGACACTTCAATAGAAACTACATGTAAACGAATTTACACACTAGCAAGACTTCTTAAAAATGATAATTTTATTAAATTTATGAGAGCATTTAATGATGATTTAGTATATATCCTATATAATAAAAGTTAACATACAGAAGATTACAAGGATGATTATCATTTGCATGTCCATATATTAGTGTGTTATATTAGATTATCATTTCAGAGTAAAGACGTTACGAATTAAGGCAGAACTGATATGTGGATAATGATAAATATGTTCATTTACTATCTTGAATACAAACGTTACATTCCACCAAAATCATCAAATAATTAAGTAATTAGAAACTTAATACAAAAAGCAATAGAACAAATATTTATAAATAAATATTATGCTTGCCATATGGAATTTCAAAACAAGTCCCTATATGTTGTTAAATGTGTTTTTTCAACAGGAACTCGAAAAATATGTGGAATTAGAATTCAAAAATTTACTTACAGGTCAAATGAGCTTGAAAAAATGGAATTACAATATTTCTTAGATGAATTTTTTTAACGGCTTCTTTTACTATTTCAACTATAAGATTTTTTCTAAAATTATTATATTTTATAATTTGCGAGTATATAAGGGAAAATGAATGTGTTCTTAAATAGAGAGTTAAAATTCTATAATTGATTATTATAGGACATATTCATTGATTATTAATAGCAGTAATAAAATGTAATTTATTGATAAAATATGTTTCGTATTTGCATTAAATAATAAAGTATTTATCTTGCATTTGTACTTGAAGTAATTAATGGTAGCTATCCCTTAAACTGTAGAGATTCGCAAGCAAATTTGCTTATTTATTTACAATAAATTCTCTTCTGATTTACTTTTATGAAAAATTAAAATTTTTAAAAATTTTTTTTTTTAAATTAATTTTATAAATATATATAATATTATAGTAAATTTTATTTTTTAATTATATAATAAAGAATTTAAAGTTACTTATAAGCTAAAAATTTGTAATTTTTAAAAAAATTATAAATTAAAAAATTTTATCATTGACCTT